ATATTTTATTTTGAAAAAAATTATGTTATTATTTAATAATTATTTTGAAAAGATTCTTATATATTAATATGATCACAAATTTATATAAAATATTAATTAAAATTAATTTAATTATAATAAATTTACACTTTTAGGAAGTACCATATAAAACATACCGTGCAAAAACAACCGCAAACAAAACTTTAGAAAGATGAACTTAATTAGATACAGATAATCTGGCCTAAATACCACCTAAACATAACTTAATTGCTGATAATAAAATAATATTTGATGGCTTATTTAGAATTTTTTTTTTTTCAATAACCTGCCTTTCAAAAACTTCAACTTTCTTGGTGAAAAAGAAAAAGAATGAAATAAATTCAGCTATCCATCACAGACTCCTCACTACTTCCAGTCATTTTCCTAGAGTTTTACTCTCTACCCATTTCCCTCCCAATTTTCACTCATCTGAGTCCCGATTAAACCATATCCGCAAAGATGTCTTCCCTTCCTGTGGCTCACTTCCGGTTCTCAGCACTGGCCATGCGATTCCCTTACACCAGCGAGCGCTCATTACAACCACCTCTTTCCTTCTCATTCCCCTCGAACCTCTCTCTCCGCTGTGGTCCCATGGGAATTTCCAGTGCTCGCCTACCTTCCAAATTCGAGGTTGCATTTGGTGGAGGCAATGGAAATAATGGGGTCGGCAACAGAGGCAGTGGTGGTCGCGGAGGAAACAATGGAGGGTCTGGAGGGGAGTCAGGGGACGGTAATTATGAATCTGATTCCAACATTCCACAGAACGGTTTAACCATTGGGTGGAAAAAGGGGGTTGAAGCGGATGCTCAGCTCCCTTTCAAAGTTCTGATGGAAGAGGTGATTGGGATCACTGCTTTCGTCCTAGGCGACGTAGTTCTTCGTCTTAACTTTAACTTTAGCCAGTTCCATTCTGTCTTCTCCACCTTGGTGATCGGCATGATTCATAATTCCATTCTTTTGTTTTACCACCTGCTTACCTCCTCCTCTGCCACTTTTTTGAATCTCCCAGCCGCCATCTTTGCAGATTCTCCAAAGACCCACATTTTAACGGCAGCGGGATTTGCATCTGGACTTGTTGGAACTGCCATTTCAAATAGGTTGATCAAGTTGGCAAAGAAGGTGGATTCCGAATTTGACCTGCCCAACTATCCTCCTTCCCCCATCTTGAACGCCCTCACTTGGGCCATACACATGGGCATCAGCTGTAGTCTGAGATGCCAAATATCCACAGGGATCAACGACATGTTGGCTAAGTTGGTTCCTCCATTGGCCTTCAACACATCAGTGCTGGCCCTCAGATGCCTGAATGGTATTCTTGGGGGAATGTCTTTTGTTAAGTTGGTGAGCCTGATAAGGTTCATGGAGAAAAATCAGAGAATTAAAGATATAGAAAAGAGAACCAGAGAAAAAGAAATGAATTTCAAGTTGTCTGAGGAAAGAAAGATGACACTCAGGTTATCGCCGGCGAATCCATTATTCACCTTTTGGATGAAAGACAAACATGACAAAGGTCAAATTGTTCATAGTGCAGGGTTCAACATTCTCGTCTGGTCTATGCTTTTCACTCACACAATAACTGAGGAGGAAGAAACCGACTAATAAATGGCTTCAGTTTGAATGCGTCGTTCCATGAAGTTAATGATGAATCATTAATTGTTGGCATTGTTTGTTATGTGATTTAATTACATGTAAGTCAGAATTCTGTTTTCTGTTGTGATTTGAAGGAAGCAGAATAAAACTTGTCATTGAATTGTTGAAGTAAACATGAGTTATCTCATGATATATAAAATTATAAATACGTGAATCTTTTGAACAAATTAAAGCTTAAAAAAAAATTTTTTTATTAGTTGTGTTGTGTGATTGAAAATATAACAAAGAAATGTGTGAGTATAAATACAAGAAAGGATATTATATTTTACTTATTGTTAATTAGTTTTAAATTAGATGCAATTTTTATATTTTGATGAACATATTTAATTTTTACATTGTATTTGAGAACACTCAAAATCTCATGACAATTTGGACCTATACAAGGGAAGGGCATATTAAGTTCATTTGTTTCCCGAGATTCACACAACAGACCTAAACATGGGGAGGATCTCTTAAGTTTATAGCTTAGGGAAATAATTTGTACATCTTGTAAAGTTATACACTCCATTACATATAGATAGTTTTTGTTATTTGTGCTGTTAAAACTAACCGTTTCTGTTACTTATACCATTAAAATTAATGATTTTTATTATTTATTCCATTAAAACTAACGATTTTCGTCAATGTATAATGAAATATATAATTATGCATAATGGATGTATCAGTATCCTTATAGCATAAGATATACATGATAGGAAAAGTTAATATTGAGTCTAAATGTGAGAAGGGCATGTTTCACTTATTTTCAATTTAATTTTATTGTAATCCTTATATTTCAACTCACATATTTAATTTTCACATGTTGTCTCAACTTTTTGGCATAGCCATGCGGGTTGATCACTAAATGCTTGGATATCTACTCGTCTGAGCATCAGGTCTTTTAGAAGCAAAAATCTTGGCTGAAAACAAGCGCGTGTACCCACATGCTCCCATCTGAAGGTTTCTCGGGGCTAAGCTTGTTTGATTCATGGGAAGTTAAACTTAGCAGAAATGGAACTGCAGGCGAAGTAAACTGAGCTCAGGGCTAGCTAGTTTTCTTAATTAAATGCATGGTGTTGTTCATTAACTCCTCGCAGAAGATGCAGCTAATGAATCGATCGTGATGGAGGTGGAGAAAATTGTTGTGTTTTGCATAACGTTTTAGAACTACGAAAATTGAATCTTTATTTTATTATTATTTTTTCTGATGATGAAATAGAGAGCATCTTCGCATAGTTGTATTGAAATTATCAAACCAACAACAGTTCAGGCTACGCCTTTATCATATAACGGTAAACAGGAAAAAAAAAAAAAAAAGAAGAAGCTTGAAACGATTTATTACACTAATTAATAAAAGGAGCTAATGCTCAAAACAAATATAAACAATTAGGTGCAAGTGCCTTTGGATATCAGCAGACATCATAGAGGTATCAATAGGTTTTGTAGCACATGGAAAGGTTATCCTAAAACTTTCTTATTGCTTCTAACAACCACAGTTAGCATCGTATCTTTCTCTAGCATGCAGTCTCGATTTCTAGGGTAGAAGATTAGCTAAGAACTCCAACCCTTGATCATATCACTAATAGTCAAAGTAAGTGTTGCAATTGAACTAAGCTCATTTAGTCTCAAATGTATACTGTCTTCGTTCTTTATCATGGGCAAAACTTAATGAGATACATTAAAAAAGTCTAAATAGAAACTCTCAAAAGAGGTGACAAAAACTCTTTGAGAGAGAAAACTCTTGAATAAAGGGTAACAATTCTACCTTTATTCATTCTCCTTAATCATCGAGGAGAGAGAGGTGACAACTAGAAGGAAAGAAGAACCAAGAGAGGAGTGGATGGGAGGGGAGGGGCTTCCTTATTTTCCTTTATAAATTTAGTTAAACCAAACAAGGTTAAGGAAGTGAAGTGGAAATTGGAAGGTTTCCCCTCTCCTCTCCTCCTCTTTGTTTTTCTCAAATGAAATAAGGGATTAAAATACATTCCTCGAAAAGTTTTTTTTTTTTTTCTCTAAGGTAGTTCCTCGTGAAGTTTTGTTTGAGAAAATTGTTTAAGAAAGTTTGTAACTTTGCAACAAATTTTTTTTTTTCAAATTTCAAATTTTGCAATTTTTATAAAAGGTTTGATTTTTTTTTTTACCTACAATGGATGTATGGATGTATTAAATGGTTTAGAACTTGAATTTTTTTTGTAATTTTTTTCATATACTTATTTAAACTTTTTCTCATTTATAGCTCCTGTTAATTTTACCTATGTGACTGATAAAAAAAATAATAGTCATTAATATATATTTATTTGACAATCAAAAGAAAATGAATAATTGGAATTTAACTGTAAATTTCATTTAATCACCACATTTAATGCATTAACCTCATACTTTTATTTTAATTGTCACATCAGTTTATTTGTTAACAAAGTGCTAATTAGTTGCAATTTAAGTAGTTCAAGGGCCTATTTACTTAGTTTTTAGTTTGAGGGCTATATGCTAAAATGAGGTAAGTTTAAGGGCTCATAAAATGGTTTTGCCAATAAACGAAAGAAATTCTCTACTTGTCAAGTAATCATCTTTATCTGGTCCTTTTTTCCTTTCCATAATCTCAACATAAAAAGTCAAATACCCAGTTTGCACCATAAATGAGAAAAGATTCAAATAAGGATATGAATTATTTTTTTATTTAAAGATATAAATTTTATTTTTAAAATTTTTAAATTATGTGATAAATTTTTATTTTTTTTATTTAAAAATGTAAAGTTTACTATTTTTCTATTTAAAATATAAATTTTGTCTTATTAAGATTAAGATATTACTGTTTGCCACATTATCATTGTCATCCAAAAAGTTTTAAATAGAAAGAATATAAAGTTTGAATCTTTATTTTTAAAAATAAAAAAGGAAAAACAAAAATTAACTACTTAATTTAAAAACTCAATAAGTTTATTTTTTAAATAAAAAAAGACAAAATTCATATCATTATCTAGATATTTTCTCCATTATAATTACATTTTTCCTACTAAGGGATTTCCCCCGTATCTCCTCACTGTGGCTTCTGTTGCTCCAGGGTCCAGGCAGGTTACAATTTGGACGAGATACCCATGGTAACCTAAACACTTTTCTAAAGGAATCCTCAAGCTGGTTTCTTAGCTGGACTTCTCAACACGGAGTCTTGTACGGAGTTGCTCATGTCCAACCATTCCTGCCTTTTATTTCTGGTAGAAATGGTTGGACCATGAGCAAGTCCATACAAAACTCTTTGTTGAGAAGAAAACTCAAGTTTCTTGCCATATAAATGAAGAAAAAAATAAGTTCTCTACTTGTCAAGTACTCAAGTTTTGTCTCTACAGGGAGTCTTTCAAGAACTTGCCTAGAGTTTCTTCTCCACGTTAGTCTTTGAGGCTTTGCACTGATTCAATCAATAAGTACTCAAGTTTCGTCTCTACAGGGAGCCTTTAACATTATTTCGTCTCAACCAAGATCGAAAAAAGAAAAAAAAAATCATAGATGAGCTAGCCACATAACCATTGACTAAGCTAAAATTGAAGTTTGGGAGACATGTCCCAAGTGCTAACTATTTATTATAGATATTTTCTTAGTATGTAAAGATTAAAGATTAAATTTATAATTTTTTTAAATTATTATTTATTTATAAAATTATTGAGTTTAGTATATATAAAAATTAAATTGAGACAATTAAATTCAAACAGAAAGAGTAATATTTTAACCGCTGGGTCTGGACTCCACAATTTAGATTAATAAGGCCAAATTTGATAACAAACTAAAACTAGGCGCCTGCCTGTCAATTTTCTGTCCGCCTCGCGGCAAATCAGTGCTAGCTGATGTGCCAACATGGCTTATGGGTCTCACATGAAATTTCATAATATTTAAAACAAAAAGCAAGAAACTATAGACAACTTTTTTATTAAAAAAAATGTAATTCTTTACAATATTTTTATATTTATTATGCTACAAAATGATATTTGGCGGAACTTAAAATGATAATAATAATAATAACTGTAACTTTAAAAAAAGTGAAGTACTTTTCTTCTTCCCAAGGGGTTTCTATTTTCTCTCAAAAGAGTGGCATTTTTCTTCTTTCTTGGTACTGCAACGACAAGTGGAGTAGGATGTGCGACACGGGTTTCAATGGAGGAAGGTTGTGGAGGGTGATTTATAGTTCACTCTACTGCCTTTGTTTGTTTGTGGTTTTTTTTTTTTTTTTTTTAGGGAAAACAAGATAAAAATTGTCCTTCGATGCAACAGTTTGGGGATTGTATTCATGGTATGGTTTGTCCTCTTCTACTTCAGCTACCTTTTCTACTACATCAGTGTCGTCTGATATTTGGCATCTTTGTCATAGTCATCCTGGTTCAGAGTTCCTCGCTTATCTTATCAGGCATGGTTTTCTTCTTCCAAATAAGAAATGGTCCATTATGGTTCTCATCATTCTTGTCAACACATCTGGACAGTTTAGCTACTGCCCATCCATTCCTCCAACGTCACATGAACCATCATCTAGCTCATCTCCTTTGCACATGCACAATCCATCGTCCATACTTAACCCATCATCAGCATCCACTTCAGAATGCCCAAAAAGCTTGTCCTTGTCTAGTCGAATGCCTCCTGTCCGATCTTCACCAACGCCTACTATTTCTTCCAAAACCGACACCATGAATGCACGGTCTATTTCGGATGCAGCGTATCCCAGTCACCTTCCGTTGCTTCTTTGGACACACATGGCGCGCAGCCCGCAGGACCACGTGGTAGCTACTGATGCTACACAGGATCAAGTTTCTCATCTTCCTAGTACAATTTCCACAGCTAGCTTCTGTTCCTCACAGTACCTATTCCATGGTCACTAGATCTCAAGATGGCACTTGCAAGGTGAGTCTTTTACCTTCCATGGTTACCATCCAACTCACTAATGTAAGAACCAAACACTTTTAACAGGCCCAACAATCTCTTGAATGGTGGAAGGCTATGGAGGAGGAGCATTCAGCTTTAATTCTCAAAATAAAACTTTGGTGTTGGAGCCTTGTCCTTCGAATGCTAATTTTGTTGACTTTAATGGGTCTACCGAGTTAAGTATCATGTTGATGGTATTTTGGAAAGGTATAAGGCTTGTCTTGCGGCTCCAGGTTACACTTAACAACAGTGAATTGATTATGGTGAGTCCTTTAGCCTTGTGGTAAAATTAATTATGACAATTAGAACGATTATTGCCTTTGTTGTTTCTCGTTCTTGGCCGATACATCAACCTGATGTCAAAAATGCAATCTTGAATGATAATTTATCCAAACTGGTTTACATAGCTCACCCTCCTGGAGTTGTTGATCAGAAAAGTTTTTATTATGTTTGTTTTTTGCAAAAGGCTTTATATGGTTTTAAGCAAACTCCTCGTGCCTTGCTTCAACACTTTGCTATTTTTATTTTATTTTATTTTATTTTTAAATCTTGTGGCTTTGTGCAGGCTTCCTGAAATTGTTCTATGTTATTTTCTACCATGTTGAATTAACAGCAATATTACTTCTTTGTATGGATGTCATTATTCTTACGACTTCTACTTCTTGTCTTTTACAATCCATCATTACCTTGTTAAAGCAAGAATTTTTAATGATGGACCTTGGCCAACTTATTTACCTTCCTAGGGTGACAGCTACTTTTAATTCTGTTAGTTTCTTTCTTTGGCAAACCAAGTACATTATTAGTTTATTGGATAAGAATGTTATGATTGATTGCAAACCTATTTCTAAGACATTGACACCCAATCATAAATTGAAGGCCCGTGATAGTACTCCCTTTTCTGATGCCCATCATTATCAGAGTATTGTTGGTGCTTTACAATACATGACTTTCACTTGACATGACATTACTCATTCTATGCACCAAGTATGTCCATACATACATACTCTTACTTAGAACCATTTTCAAGTTGTGAGGCGTATTTTCCTTTACTTGAAGGGTACCATTCATCACTACAATTATAATGTGACTCAAATTGCTTCCTAACATATTTATATTGATGCTAATTAGGCTGGTTGTCTTGATACTTGTTGTTCTACCTCTAGCTATTGTTTATTTTTTAGCCATTCTCTCATTTTTTGGTCATTTGAAAACCAACATACATTTGCCTCCTTCAATGCTAAAGCTAAATACAAGGCCATGGCAATTGCAATTGCTAAGGTTCTTTAGGTGACACAATTGTTAGCTTAACTGCATTTCTATTTATTAATTCTCTCCTCTTATTGTTTACTATGATAATATTAGTGCTATTTACACATTCTTTAATCCTAATGAGCATTAGAAAACGAAGCATATTGAGATTAATATTCATTTTGTTCTAGAAAGGCTGCATCTCATCTTGTCTCTCTTTAGTACATTCCTTCTTCATCATAATTGGTTGATGTTCTAACAAAGTCTTTGTTAGCACTGGCTTTCATTTGTTAGAGGACCAATTTGTGCATGCTTGCTTATCCCGCTCAAATTGTGGGGGGATGGTGGTGTATATAGTATTTATGTATTTATAGTTAAGGGTCCTAAGTCATTATACATCTAGCGTGTACGTGTGTGTATGTGTATATAATGTAAACCTTACATTATAATAAGATGAGATTTCTATTTTGCCACGTAGGGTAAAAGCTAGATGGCATGGATGGGCTAGTGCTTATGATGGGCAATTCGTTGAGGATTTGGGCAATATATGGGGAAGGAGATGGAGTTGTTGCCAAAGCCGATGGGGGAGGTTGGAGGTTTGGGAGGGTGCAGGTTATGGGATGTGGACGGTTTAGTGCTATTGATGAAAGATCTAGGGGGTGTTTGTTTTAGCTATTTTATAAATAGCTATCAGTTGTTGGCTCCAATTAACTGAATTAGATATTTTGAATTACAGATAATAATGATTATTGGTAATTAGATATCAATTATTAATTATCAGTTTTACTTAAACAACTAATCCAAACAGCCCCTAATGTGTTGTCTTTGCCAGATCCTATTGTGGTGGAGGAGGCGTGGTGGGGAAAGGTACTAGGAGTGATGGTGCAAGTGACACGGCGTTTCGGAATGAAGAAGAAGCAACGGGTGACTCTGATCGGCGGTGGATGGTGGCTGTGGTGGGTAGTGGTGCTTTGGTTAGCCTCGCATCAGTGGAAAAGGTGGGGGGGGTGAGGAGATTCTCAGATGGACCCAGTAAATTTTTTGCCAAAAATTCTTGGATTTCTTTGGTGTAGATTTTGGGAATCAAAAAATAAAATAAAATAAAGGAACTAATGGTAGACAAATAATGATTTTTATTAGTGTAGATATTATTTTCTTTTATGTGATTTTCCACGATTATTGTCTATTGTAGTTTGTGATAGTAGTAGTTTTCTTTTTTTTAGTATTAACTTTTCGGTATCTAATAATCACATTAGATTTCGATTAATTTCGAATCGACCCATGTCAGATTTCATTACAGATTTTATTAGAGAAGAAGTTTTTTCAGCACCTATTTCTATATTCACAAAACTCGAATTCAAAATTTTATTTAAGGAGAACTGATCTCCTTCCATTTAGATCAACAGGTCGTTGCTTATGATAGTAGTAGTGAACGCAAAGTAATTTGAATTAGGGTTTAGGTTTACTTTAACAGCTTACTTAGTTATTATAGAATTATAGAATAATAACCTTAATTAATGGGTCTCAATTTGTAGAAATTGCTTATTTAGTTATTACA